TATAGTGTCGCTTTAAGCGCATAATTCACAAGCCTGCACAAAATCGTTTACATCTTATCAGAATGAAGGCCACCAGAAGTTCGTGTTAATTAGGTAACCATTTTTTTGTATTTCTGAATGCCTGGCAACTTTACACACATGAAATAAGGTGAGTATAGCTTCTTGATGTTCTGGAGGAACTTATAGTCTACCATTACGTGTCAGCTATGGTGCTTGATCTTGTTCGTCAATGAACAAGTGTACAAGATCAAAATGAATTGTAATCTTAGTGGTTGCTATGATATGTTGCTTAGGCATGATAGAAGAGATTTGCTTTGATGTTTGATGAAGTATGCTGGCATCCTGCGTGTGACAGAATGAGCGTGGGGTGATCCAGATCTGACAGTAGACCCGACAGCGGTGCTTAGCACAATCTGGTTATCCCTTTGATCTTCCATCCTTTCCATCCTCCTGGCATGTTTAGTTGCCTTTTGGTGCAAACTTGGTGCTCTGGAAAAGGTACATTTATTTTAATTATCTGGCAAGGGTCTGACAAATTGACTTACTGGATCTCACTCTCTATAAAGAAAATCTACAGATTAAGACCAAGACTTTTTTTTAAGAATACCGATACCAACAGCTATATAGATGTTAACTGCAGTCACCACCCCAAGTCGTTGACTGGAGTTCCAAGAAGCCAATTTACTAGTATCCGGTGGAATTGTACAGATAGGGAGATTTTTTTTTCAATCAAAGTGAAATCTTAAAAGAAAGATTTTTAGAAAAGGACTATTCTGAAGAGCTTTTGAATGAAGAAATTAATATAATAGGTCAAAAAGAAAGAGGAGATGTTTTGAGGAATGTTGATAATTCACAATAAGTACAAGTGACTCATGATATTAAATGTATGCTTACTAATGCAAGGAGCCTAAATAACAAAATGGGGGAACTAGAGGCAGTAGCAAACACTAAACAATATGATATAATAGGCATTACTGAAACAAGGGTACCCAATGAATTTAAGGCCAGAGATGAGGTAGCGGCTGGGTTTGAATCCTTGGTCCCACTAATTACTGTTAATAAGAATGTCAATTGGATTAATTATATCTACTATAACCAACAACGGTTTGTTAATTATACTAAAGATGCCCTACAGGGCTTGGCAGAACAACCGCAAGCTACCTCCCAAATGACATTCCAGAATAGAATGGCTCTGGATATGATCCTAGTGGAAAAGGGGGGCGGATGTAAACTACTCCCCGATACCATGACATGTTGCACCTTTATCCCAGATAATACTGGACCCAACATGGTATGTCAACCATGAGACACATAACTGGGCAGCTAACCTAAATGGGTACATGTTATTTAGGAAGGATAGGAAAAACAAGAAGGGTGGTGGGGTATGTTTGTATGTCAACCATGATTTAAAGCCAAATCTTAAACAAGTGGAATGCGATGAGGAAAATGTGGAAGCTTTATGGGTAAATATCTACTTGGGGGAAAAGAAGGGAAACCAACTATTTGTTGGAATATTTTATAAACCACCTAATGTTAATATTGACGAGGAATGAAGTGGAAATCAATCAATCAATAAATTTATCTTTTGTGTATCTGCCCCTGGCCAAATTAAAGAAACAGTGCGTGCACGCTCCCTGAAGTAATTCACACCAGACACAAGTTTCAGGTTGATGAAAAACTTGAGGAATGTTTATTCAAGGGGGACGGCAAGTCCCTTTTAAAGCAAAATTACATCATATGCATTGTCAGAGATAACATGAAATAATACATCATTAATTGGTTAGGTGTTAAGTGGTTCTCTTAATGTTCTGCCTACAAGGGGTGATGTCACTGGCATCACAAGGGTCTCCCCCAGATTCTAGCGCCATCTTGTTACACGAGGTAGTTAGTCGATGTTGGGGGGGGGGGGGAGAAGAAGGCTCCTATCGGCCATTTTAATTAATCACATATAAGTAGAATAATGCTGATTATTGTTAAATGAGTAAATAGACATTTTACTAACTAAAAATTACGTTAATATCTTATTTCCACAACAGTCCCCCCTTAAAATGGCTATTTACTAAAAGACAACTACAACTGTCCCTATGCTTTATTTTTTTTTCAAGAAATCTTTTGTTCCTTACCACCCACTCCCCTCTCCTGTCCCATAATGATCTTTAAACCCCCCTCCCCTGTCCCATAGTTATTTTAACCCCCTTTCCTCTGTCCCATAGTGATTGTTAACCCCTCCTCCCCTTGTCCAATAGTGTTCCCCCCCTTGTCCCATAGTGCACTTTCCCTCCCATAGTGTCCCCCCTCCCCTTGTCCCATAGTGTCCCACCCTCTCCTTGTCTCATAGTGTCCCCCCTCCCCTTGTTCCATAGTGTCCCCCCTCCCCTTGTCCAATAGTGTCCCCCCTCCCCTTGTCCCATTGTGTCCCCCCTCCCCTTGTCCCATAGTGTCCCACCCTCTCCTTGTCCCATAGTGTCCCACCCTCTCCTTGTCTCATAGTGTCCCCCCTCCCCTTGTTCCATAGTGTCCCCCAGGCCCGGACTGGCCATC